AAAAAAAAAATGTTTTTTTATTCGTAAATTTTTTTCTTTCTACCAGCAAGGCCCATGATGCAATACTACTTTATGAGCAAGGATTTCTATAGTGAATATCGATGACTGAGGGAGGGGTAGATCGACCCATGATCGTGGATCGACCTACATATCTCGGAAGTCAGCTCGAAAACGCCCTATCTCAGAAAACTTTTGAAAGGACGTCCTATTTTCGTTTGAGATAGGGCACCTCTGAACCGAATTCTGATTCATTATTATTCAACCAAATGCTGATAAGGTGTTTTTCAATAAAAATCTGAAATAGGGCGTTTTTCAATCAAATTCTGAAGTAGGGCTTTCTTGAAAAGTTTTAAGATAGGGCGCTTTTGAACTGGCTGCCGAGATATGTCGATCTTTCACTCAGCCATCGATATCGTCACCTGAAATGCAAAAGGACGTGACTAATAAATGTGGAGAGTAGTAATGTATCAAAAGTTAATTTAATTTTCGTTTAATAATCGTTTTTCTGAAAACTCAGATCATTGCTTTTCATATCAAACTTTTAATCTGTCTTATGGGGCTTCTTTCATATATCCTTAAACGTTGCCCGATCAAGAATAGAAAATAATGACATTACAAAGTCAACCTAGAAACAAATTTCCCGTTGTTCATTTCCTTCAATAGTGTTACAACTCAAAGAAGCAAAACTCGAGAAATGCGGCTTTAAATCTTTGAATTAACATACTTAGACTTCCATTGTAAGAATTAACTCATTTTTTGTTCTAGCGAGATACTGGTGATCTATGGCATTTTTACACAACATAGAAGAAGAATTAGAGGTAATTTCTGCACACTCAACTCAAAATTTATATTTTTTAGATTATGACTATTGAAGTAAATGAGCGATATGTACATACATGGTTGTTAATTTTAAATTCAATTCTTTAGTGAATAAGTAATATACCAATTTTAGAGCAGAGCTGAACTTTGAAAAAAATTTGGTGGCGCTTCTCAATCTACAAAAGTATTTTGGAAAAAAAAAAATAAAGTTACAAAATTGATTATAAAAGCAAACTATAGGTTGGATTAACTTTAAAATATTTGGATATGTTCGTTCGGGAGGTTCTGTTGCGAAAATTACTCTTTCTGCCGTTGAAAAAAAGCGATTTTTGAAAGCGATATTATAGTATTTCATTAAGATTATGCTATTTTTGATACAAAAATGCGAGAATTTTAATTGCCTGCTTTTTTACCGTTCTCGGATTCGCTCATATGCGTGTGCATAAGACCCTGTCTCCACAGGAAAACACTAGGGGTATTCACGATCCGGTGAGATACTTCGCCGACTTAAACGGGGTTAGATCACTGCAGAACACCGCACTCAGGACAGCGACAGGATGCCTCCTGATGTCGCCCGACATAGTGCTCTGCAAAAACACATATCTGAGTAATCAGTTGTATTGGAGCTGTATGTTAAAGTGAACCCATTGCGATAATTTTAATGAATAATTAAGGTAATATTACAAACCCGTTATGTGCAAAATTTTAGTAAAATAACTTCAAAACTGAGGTAGTTATTTATAAAATAGTTAAAATTTAATAAAATTTTCAAGTACCGTTATCTCGAAAACCGCAGCCAATCTGGTAAAGTGGGGTATGCCATTGAATTTAGAACGTTCCAATTAAGAGAGTTCAGCTTTCAAAATCATTGCTCAAAATTTACAACTTGAATAGCGTAATGTGAAACCAGCTTATTATTTTCTTTTCTATTTCAAGTTTATTCGTCGTCTAATTTTTGAAGCACTTGATGAAAATGAATTACACTTATATTAATCGATTTATTAAGAGATTACGAATAAAATGATATATAAAACATAGGAGTGCTCACAAATTTAAATATTAAAATATTTTTTTGGAAAGCGTACCTATTTTTTAGATTTGCCCATATACAGTTGCATTATGCGGTGTTCGCATGCGGCGATTTTACAGGCAACTTTTAGTTGAAAGCAGCATTCGCCTGGTGTGAACGGCCTTTCAACTAATCGCATCCAATGAAAGTTGGGGTGCAGCCAACTTTTGATTCAACTAATTGCCTCTGAAATTGCCTGGAAAATCGCCTCATGCGAACACCATATTAATTTACAAATACTTCGTATATTCTAATTTTTATTTTTGCAATTTTTATACCCCAAAAGAAAGACTGAAGTCTAATTTGACTTGAAAGTAAAGATTTTGTGAAGTGCAGATATAGAAAACCGGTCTTACAATACTTTATTATAATTAACTTTAGGTGTATATAACTTACATAAATATACATTTGTATGTACATAATACATAATAATGTGCCTCATAGCCAATTTAAAATGGTTTTCATGCCATACGCCTATTTTAAACTTAAAGATTCGCAATTACATTTAGGATGTTTGACCAAAGAGGAGTACTCCCCCGTTGCTCCATTATAAAGCCCGTTAGACGATTTTTCTGGTGGATTACTCTCCGTTCTATGACATTTAAAGAAATATAAAAATAAAAACGTTAATGCATATTACGCGATATGTATGTACATTAAGAAATTAACAAATCAAATACTCGTAGAGTCTAAATTTTTTGAAAACATTTCGACAATCTGTACTAACTAACCTGTAAAATACATAATGCTGCAGAATAAATAACATATCGAAAATAACGGACAGTAGGCCCAAACCGAATTTAGTCGGATCACCAAAAATTGAAATCCAATCGTCTATAAATGGTAAAAATATTCTTTTTTTTTTAAAGAAAATACAATGTTTTCAACACCACTTATCATTACCATAATTGTAGGCATTTAAGATCATCTGCAGCATGCTAAAAGCGCCGCCAGCAAAGTCCATTAGTACAGTTCCAATACTCCAACCCGCAGTACTTTTGCGTCGATAGTTCATTAGTGCCTGCAATCAAACTCACTCACAATTAATCAAATAAAGGCAAATGCACACTACAGCGCTAACTTACCTGTGGTATATATTTAACCATTGTTATTATTAATTTAATATAGCTACAGTAGTAGAGAAAATCCAGCCAATGAAGGATATCAAGTACGGAGAGAATCATGGTTACTAATACAAATATGAAGAACAAACCCAAAATACCAGATGCAAGTGTTGACACTCTTTGATTGCCGCGCTGTAATAATATTAAACTACTATTACAAATTCAGAAATTATTATGGATTACGAAAATAATGCGAATAATGTTGGCTTTGATAGATTAGTGGACACCATAGTAATACAGAGGTGTTAAGAAAAGGCCAAAGATTGAGTGGACAATTTTGTTGTTCGATTAGCGCCGTTTTCTCAATTTTTATAAATTTTCTAGAAAGTTTGATACTTCAACTCACACGTCTTTTGTTATGGAATTAACTATATTTTTATAAAAAATTTAAATTAAGTAAGGAAAGAAAAATTTGCAAAACGTGTCATTACATTTTAGTACTATTTTCGTGAGCACAGCTGTACATACATATGTAATACCTTTGATTTGTTTTAAAGTAATGAATTTTTATATTGATAATACTATATGTATTTAAAAGTCTATTAGTTATTTTTTTTTAAATTATTCCGCTGTTACTTGGTTGTTATATTGTTAATAATAAAAAAATCGCTTAAAAATGAGCTGATTTTTATGGCTTTGTACTGATTGTTGATTCCAACTGTACTGATTATGTCACTATAATATCTGGCCACCCTAACTCTCGAGCACTCTTGGCATTCGTTTTCTTATGTAGTATGTTTTAAGATCACAACGTACGATAAAGACAAAAAAATTCTAAACTCACAAAGCAACTGGCGAAACTGTGGGCCAAATATAATAAAACTACGTTTTTAGTTTTTCTCTCTGACATCAGGATTTTTTTTTAAGGACTTTGTAATTTTGTTAATATCATCTAATCCAAAAAATTATTTTAAAAATTCAATGCAATGTAGAATAACAATATGGCTACCAAATATTTAGCCTATGGTTTCGCGAATGTATTGATTTTTTTTTAGTGTAAAATTTACTGTCGCACGGTGTTATTTTTACAGCTGAAGGAAAAAGTAGAAAAAACTAGGATGCATCGAGTTTATACATTAGATCTTTGACAAGTAACATTCGACCGACACGCAATTCCTACCTAATTAAATGCCCGATGACCAGATTTTAATTATTGGAGACGTTGAACACTTCTAATTTTAGCCGTTTTTTCGGCCAATTTAGCCGGTCCGCCCAAAAAGTTCTGGCAACACTGGTTATTATTGTTATTATTATTATTATTATTATTATTATTATTATACTTTTGAAAAGAAAATTCAAAAAGGAGAGGTCAAACTAGAGACGCTGGCTTGTCATACATCTACATAAAGTTTTATTTTGTTTAATGAAGAACTTTTTTCATCGGTATAGGGTGTTTCGAAATTCGATGAAAATAAAAACATGCACTATGCCAGACTGCTCTTCACTCAGAAACAGCTGCACGGTTTCGATGAAACATGGCACTCAGGTCTCTTATGACTCTGACTAACATGTGGCAAATTTTTTAGTTTTTGAAATTCAATTTTCTATTTTACATATAGTCGAAACACTGTGCGTCGGGATGGGCGGACTCTGGACTTAAAATTTGAATATCGGCATGAGCGGGATCGGGATTGGCCTTTTTAATCCCGCACCCATCTCTAATATTGACACTGTATTTGAGGTATGAGAGCATATTTTTCCAAATCCCTTCAGCTCTCTGGCTTCAGATAAAATTTGAAGGACAGACAAAGAACTTTACTATCAAACTACATACATATGTACATTTTTGTAGCCAAATATACATGCATTCTCGTAAATATTCTTCAACTCACCTCATAAATGAAACATTGCATGACTGTCAAAATTGTTGCTAATAATGCATTCGGTGCAAAAACTACATCATTTAACAAAACCGGATTTACACTACGCGGGTGACGGCTGTTGTATTCCGCTTGTACTTCGGGTATCCAGTAAAGGCCAAAATTGAAAACGGCATATAACGCAAAACCAACTACATTGAAGGCAAGAAAGTCCAAGTTGAGTCCAACCACGGACTTGCGCTTGAAATTAATATAAATTTGTGGATAAAATGAGATGGACCAGGCTAAAAAATAAAACCAGCCAAATGCGAGCGATATGTAATTGATAATCTCAGAATTGGCTACTATAACGCGTACGAATAAGTCGTTGACACTGTCGATAAAAAGTTTATATGTACAGCTTTAGAAATGTTTTTAGAAATCAAAAGTGCAAGTCCAAGCATACTTACATCCACGAATCGTTCGGTAAACTTCTAGCCGTGATCTCCAAATGTCCAGGTCTAACACCGAGTATGCTTACTGTCTGGTTTTGTGGATTCGATGAACTGATTGTGAAGTCATTTGGATACAATTCAACAAGTGCTTCATGTTGTCTCACAAATCTGATTGAGATGTCTTTATCTGGTGGACCACTACAAAATTGATAAAATATTTTGGTGTAAATGCAAATTTGGCTTTCAATTATTGTAGGGGAAGTTTACACGTCTCATATTTTTGTACTTGCCTTAATATAACTTCAAAAGTTATATTTTCCTGAACTAGTACTGTGAGATCGTGGGTGGAGACAGTTAGCCATGAGTTATTCGAGTTAAGCGCAATTTGTTCCACTGCCGTGGTTTGTGCTGAGATAGATGCCGTTAGAAGAGCGGTATTGAAAAATTGTCTGCGGATACCGAACTCACCTGTTGTTAATACTAGGAAAATAAAGGAACTTGTATATCTGAGTATACGTTGGTATGCGCTAGATCTCCGCATTTTACGATCCTCGCTCAGACTTTTTTTTCTGTAAATTAAACTGCGATCAAAATTCGTAATTCAAAAACAATTTCAAATGTGGTATAGGGATTGAATTGAGTTCGGATAATCGCACTTGCTTTTATATGCCAAAAGATATGGAATTTTTTTTTACATACAAATTTTGAAACGTGATTTATTAGCTTATCGAGCCGTGACCGCAAAAAGGACATAAGTTAAATTTTTTTAAAATTTTTGTTTTTGTTGCAGAAATGCATCTAGATGCTCTAGAAATATTTCTGCTCCAAAAAGAAAATAAAAATAAAAATGTCTGGGTCAGTTAAATTGTTACTTTTTCTCACAATATATTTTTATAAGAAGCCACTATCTCTAATTCATGGAAGTTTTTTATATTTTTGAGCCCACTTAATGCACATATGTACATATATTTATCACTTTTGGTTACTTTTGAAGAATATTTCGATGTGCGATTCAATGTTGTAGAATTGAAAGTTGCCTGTCCCCAGCTGCATGGAAATGTGTCGTATTTAACAAGCGTAGCGGCTACCTCCTTTGCATTAAATATCAACACTTTTACGTTCCCGACGGTTAAGTTTTTTAATTTTACTGCGTTTAGCTTTTGTAGATTATACCGTTCAGTGGAAAATTTAGAATCTTTTTGCATTGTCTTTTACCATTTCATACCTTTTTAAGCACGACATTGTTTAAATTTTTTATTCCTGACGATAACAGTAGAGTACAGATACATACATAAATATATATGTATGTACGTATGTATCATCCGCCAATATTTTTTTATATTTTTTTATCGGCGACGTTTGCATTACACTTTCATAGTTAAGTGCATCACCAAAAAGGCCTCTCATCGCTCGTCTGTTCTTAAAGACTAAGAATTAACTTAACACTCAGCTACTTAATTCAAGTTGTTTAAAAAAAAAGAAAAACTATACTTACAAAAATATTTGTCGGTTAGCCCAGTGAGACTTTGGATAACGAATTCATACATGGTTTCCACATGATTTTCACCCAAGTGCATATCGGTCGTTTGATGGAAGTTTTTCGTAAAGAACAAAAATAAATTACATCGAAAAAATGTAGTCTTAAAATGTAATCTAAAAGATAAAGCTGCCGTCAAAACATTTTTTGGTTCTCTATGAAATTTGCCTTCTTTAGCGCAGACCAGGCGCACTCATTCTTGTTTTTTTAGTATGCATGTATTTAGGTCCCGAATTGCCTATTGGGACACATAAATATACTGAAGTAGGTACATACATACTATGTACACATTTGCTTCAAATTAATAAATCCCTTTAGTTTTTTTCGCGGCAAGGTACATATAAAAATTCCTCACAATTCAAATTAACGCGCGCGATGATCGTCTGAATTGTAAGGAGTGTAAATTTATATAAGTAACGAATAAGTAGTTTATAATTGCTCTACTATAATAACATCAGTTCAATATGTACAACGGCTTAGACATAATTTTTACCTTTACTGATAACAGCAACAGGTCTTCGTGCTTTCAGCTTGTTCGAGTTGCAATTACAATCGCTGTGTTGTAATTTATTATTAAGGTATCACGTTCGATGAGAATGTTTAATAACTTTGTATTAGTTGACCAGTAGCAAGAGTATAGCAAACTTTCATCATCATTATTAGATGACTGGAATCCTCTGTCTCCTGCATTGGAACAAAGTTAGGGCCTTAATTTCTATCTGAGCTGATCTCTTTGAACCTTTTAACAAAAAAAAATGTATAAAAGTGCCAAAACTGGCAGAGATACTATTAACACCGTGTAACAAAATCAAGAAAAATACATAAACTTTTGAACTGAGTACTGGTCGTGGGCCTGGTCGCATGACTACGCGAAATATACATTTTTCGTAGTTTTTTAAACATAAATATCAGTGGATATTTGAAAGAAGAACCACTTAAGCCTATTCTTCACGGCCAAACAAAATAGCATATGTCGACAAAAGGTAAAGGAAATAGAGAGTAAACTGCCAGAGAGTTTCTGTTCAGAATAGGCCTGTTATTCTTTTGCTAGTAAAGAAAAGCAAAAATAATATGGTGGCCCTTTTTGCGTCAATGACCCCTTTTTTGCGACTTTCTGTAAATTATCAACGGCAACACAGGTGCCTTGTCATAGCAAAGCTGTCCCCCGTGGTAACCCAAAACCATGGGTTGGAAAAGCTCTTCTCCCAAAATACAATTTTTAGGTTGATCCACCCGAGAATTTACTTTTTTGGACATCATTCCAAAAAAAAATCTCTACTATGTTTAACCAACTCCTTGAGCAACCACATTACATAGTTAGAAAATATTTGTGGACCGATCTTTAAAAGAACATTAATTAATTTAGCTACTTTTATTTAATACAACAATGATTTACGCACATATTTATATATCTACATACATATATATACACAAATACATATCGTCGATGTTTTTGCAAAACCGCTCATCGACCAGTTTCAAAACCGCCTAAATCGCCGCTGTGCCAAAAATTAGATTTGGTAACCCTGAACTCCAGGCAGCGAGATTTATGCCGAAAAATCGTTAAACTAAAATTAAATTAAAACTACAGATTTGTAAAATAATAGCTAGAGGAAGTATCGATTATCAAGGCAAAGCCTTCAAAGAAAAATCAATTTTTCGCTCTCCTGTAAAATTTGAGTGCCTTAAGATAAGCGGTTTTGCAATTGGGCGATGGGCGGTTTTGCAAAAACATCGACTTTATATACATATTTGCTTAAATTTTTAAATTATTACACATACTTTACTTAAGTAGTATAAAAATTAATTTAATTATCAAATCACATACACACAAATTAATATAAATGCATTTTTAGATATGCGGGCACTTTATAAATTATCTCAGAATACTTCCGGAAAATCTCTGCGCGAAAATTGCTCAAAACAATGTGCACAGAAAATATGAACTAAGTAGATTAGCGCTGCTCGTCATCTTTGCCATTTTCCACTTCTGTGGCGTTGGTGAGCGTGGAGCTGGAAAGCTGTTGTGCATTCCTAAAAGAAGCGGATAGCAAAGAAGGAAATGTACTACATAAGTATATATTTTTTTAGATTCATATCACTCGCATGCTAATTGAACGTCATAACTCAGATATATTATATAAAACATGTTCGTCATCAGACGAGCGGTATGTACAATAAGTATGTATATTGATACATTTAAAATCGCGTGCCAGACCAAAAAAAATCATACCTCAGATTCTGTGAAACATACATACCTGTAAAATACATAATGCTGCAGAATAAAAAGCACATCGAAAAGCACTGAGAATAAGCCCAAGCCAAACTTTGTCGGATCGCCAAAAATTGACACCCAATCATCTATGGGTAGGTATATAAATACATACATATATTATGATGTACATATTTTAATGAAACCAAAAATCTTCGAATATCGTCATAATTACCATAATTGTAGGCATTCAAAATCATTTGTAGCATGCTGAGGGTTCCACCTGTAAAGTCCAATAAAATATTGCCAATGCTCCAACCCAAAGTACTTTTGCGTCGATAGTTCATTAGTGCCTGTACGTAGACGTATGTATGTACATATGTATGTATGTATTTGCTCACAATTAAACAAATATTCATTAACAAATAAATCAAAACTGTAGTGGTTGCTTACCTGTGGCACATATTTTATAATTGTTATCGATAATTTAATGTAGCTGCAGTAATAGAGAAAATCCAGCCAATTCAGGACATCAACTGCGGCGAGAATTACGATGACCAATACAATTATGGCGAACAC